TGCGGCAGTCGCAGGCGAGTGGCCCGGCGGCCCCTCTGTCGCACGGTCGAGGGGCCCTTGCGAGAGATTCACCATGGACTCCCTGACTTCGTGGCGCGCGCGCAACGAGACGGGAGTCTGCCGCCCGGGGTCCGCGCAGACATGGAGGACGTGCGCTTAGAACACGCAGGCAAGGACGGCGTCCGCGCGGCAGGAGTCCCCGTGGGCGTCCTCGGGAGCGCTGGGGATGCTACGTGCGTCCGCGCGCCGCCATGGAAGTAGCAGCATCCGCGCGCGCGGAGCCCAGCGGGAGCCCGTCCATGTCCTGCGCGCGGGAATCGCCGGTGCAGGGAAAGCCCTTCGCGGGCGCCAGAATTTTGGAAAACGACTGGTCCGCGAAGCCCATCTGCGCGGAGCAGCCACCGCGCGCGCGCGCAGGGAACTCCGCGAAGGGCAAGTGGAAAGCGAAAAGCCACGGGGTGGCGCGCCCGCGCCTGCTGAAAGAGCCCCTTGCACAGACGCAGGGGCGCGCGCTGTCGCGCGAAGACAGCCGTCGGAAGCACGCGTGTCAGAGCAGGCGAGCCCAGCAGCAGGCCATGCCCGCGCAACTCTGCAACGAGGGCAGAGATGCAAAGCCCCGCGACGAGGCCCGTGGAGTTCCAATGGCAGACAAGCCTTTGCGAACACACCCACAGACACACACGCGCGCACACACGGACACACACTTAGGGGAGTAACTCGTAAGGCGCACGGGAGAAGTCCGATTTGGGAACAAGCGCGGCGCCGAGTTTCCCCGGAGACTGGAGGGCGGTGTCTGGCAGGCCGAGCATTGCGCCGTCGCCTGTCCGCATCGGTCCACGATGGCCGCCCGAACGCTGGCGCGCGCAACTTTTGCCTGGGCGCCCGCGGAGCAAGACGCCCACCCGGACATGCGCAGTGCGCGGGAGCCACGGCATCCAGCTTTTGTCTGCGAGCGCTGCGTTTTGCGTCTGGCGCTGGGTGGGCGAGGCTTTCCGAGGCACTCACTCCTGCTGGTGCTCCCTGCCGCTTGCACCTGGGGTAACGACGCCAGTCTCTGCGCGTTGCTGCAGTGGCCCCTTTTCCATGCACTTGGAGCGCCGCACGGAGAGTGAAAGTGGACTTGCGGAAGTCGCTCGGCGACTACTTCCGCTCATGCTTTGGCCAGGCAGGGCCCATGGCGAACCGCATCCAGGGGCGCCAGCGCACCATGTTCAGCAGCGCGTTGCGGTACTCCCCGTAAGAATTCGCCACCGCCTCGGATATCACGAACGCACGTCTCGCCTGCCGCGCGCGACGCAGGACAGGCAGCCCGCCGCGCACCTGGCGGGGGGGCCCCGACGACGCAGTGGCGCGGCAGCGAAGAGGTTCAGGAGCAGCCCACCCACGTGCTCAATTTTGATGCAGCGGAGAGCTTGCGCCATCATCGCGCAGGCGGCCTCTGCTTCGATGTCCAGGCGGAGTTCGACAGGATGAGGGCAGGAGCCTCTTCGAGCTGCGCCAGAGCACGCTCGTGGCCCCTCATGCGCCACAGGGCCCCCCAGCGCGCGGGACCGACGGCGACGGCGACCAGCCTCGCGCGAGGAGCGCATCCTGAAACGTTCGCCGCCACCTTCTCCGGGCTCCCGCGACCACGATGGCGCGCAGACGGACCGCGCCGCGTTTCCCGGCGGCACGCCAGCGGGCAGGCGGCCCCTGCGTGGCGAGCGCGCAGGGCCGGAGGCAGAGATTGTCTCTGGAATCCCCGACGCGGGCCCGCGCGCGGAACGCGAGAGTCCGCCGCCCGGGAAAGCGGGCGCCGCCGCTCCGCACTCACATGGAGGACGCACCGCAAGGAAAACGCAGGCAAGAAAGAACGGACTCCGCGCGGCAGGTGCCCCGTGGACCTCCGCGGGAGCGCGAGAGATGCCGCGGGCGCGAGGTCGCTGAAACGGAAAAGGGTGCATTCGCAAAACTGGCGCATGCCCAGCGGTGGCCCGTCGATGCTCCGCGCGCGGGAAATGGCGGCGCAGGGTGAAACATGGAGACGAAGAGGCGATCCGTGCGTCCCATCTGGGCGGCATGGCCATCGCGCGCGCGCGCGCCCGCGCGCTGGGGACTCCATGGCGGGCAGGAAAGAGGCGGAAAGCCACCGGGTGGCGCGGCCGCGCCTGAGAGAGCCCCTGCACGCGCACAAGAGCGCGCTCGGTCGGGGAAAGAGTCGAAGCGCATGCACTCGCGGCAGACCAGGAGAGCCGATTAGCAGGCCATGGCCGCACGAATCTGCAGTCATGGCATCCTTGCAAAGGCCCCCCATGAGGACCATGACATGCCCATGGAGCACGAAACGCTGAGAACACATTGACGGGGTCACCCTTACGCCTCAGGGGAAAGAGCCCAGTGGGGGACAATGGGCGGCGGCGGGTTGTGCCGGAGGCTGGAGGATGCTGTCTGGCCCCATCGCTCCACGATGGCCGCCCGGACGCTGGGGCGCGCAACTTTTGCCTGGGCGCCCGCGGAGCAAGACGCCCACCCCGACATGCACAGGGTGTGGGAGCCGCGACAACCGGCCTTGGTCTGCGTGCGCTTGGATTTGCGTCTGGCGCTGGCTCGGCGCGTCTTTCGGAGCCACTCCTTCCTGCTTGCGCTCCCAGCCGCTTGCGCCTGCGGCAACGACGCCCTTCTCCTGGCGATGCTGGCGTGGCCCCTTTTCCGTGCGCGTGGAGCGCCGGACCGGTAGGCCACGGTGGACTCGCGGATGTCGCTCTGCGTGAGCTTCTTCTGCTCCTGCGTAAGCACGAGAGGGTCCAGGGCAAAGCACATCTAGGGGCACCGACGCACCATGTTCAGCAGCGCGTTTTCCGCAGGGAAGCCTTTGCGAAGGTATTCACAGTAAATCTCCGCCCCCGCCTGCGAGATCACGAACGCATGGCTCTGGTAAGCCTGCCGGGCGCAGCACAAACCAGCCGGCCCTCCGCGCACCTTGCGCAAGGGCCCAGACCACGGAGTGGTAGAGCAGCCAAGGTACAGGATCAGCCAATCCTTGTGGTCCTTGTGGATGCAACGGAGAGCCTGCGCAATCATCGCGCAGGCCTCCTTGGCATCGATTGCCAGGCGGATGTCGTCTTCCAAGACGATGAGGGCAGGAGCGTCTTGGAGCTGCGCCAAAGCACGCTCGTGGCTCATCAGACAGCCCAAGGTCCCCCAATGCGTGCCCCAATTCGACTTGGCATTTCGCACATACCGAATACGGCGCGTCTTGTGTGCGGCGTCGAACCAGGAGCAAAGCACCCGGCCGCCCGGCCCGCCCTGGCAACGCTTAGCATACCCACTCCGTGCCTTGAGGGAATCCCCATCGGTTCCCGCCAACCACGTCGGCTCGATGCCCAGACCGGCTGCCACCTGGAAGGCAACGTCGCGCTTGTCTTCTCGACGCCGTAGGCTAATCGAGCAAGAGGGCAGCGCTCGGAAGGTCGCGGATGCCATGGGACCAGATGGCTGGCAGAAGGCAGTGCGATCGAAAGGAAACGCTTGAGCCAAGGTCCCTGTGAAGAAAACGTGGTTGGGCTGGGAATGGCGCGACGACATAAAGGTGTAGGCGGAGGGCATAATGGAAAACCCACAAAGGACTCAAAGCGAATGCTATGGATCGCAATGGAATGCAATGCATCGCAAAGCGAAGTCAAGAAGGCAGAACAATGCAAGGCAGAGCGATGGAAACTTGGAAGGAGCTGCGCTGCATTGCACAACAATGGAATGCATGACAACGCAAGGCATGACAACGCATGCCACACCTGAAAGACACAGAGTGCATGGCCACAAAGGCCGGAGAAAGATCCCCTGGAACCCATTTCCGGGATTACAGCTGCCGCCGAGTCTCCTGCACAGGAGACGGGAGGGGAGGAGCAAGGAGGAAGGAGGAAGGAAGGAAGGAGGAGCAGGGAGGAGGGAGGAAGAGGACGTCGTCGTCGTCGACGTCGTCGTCGTGATGGTCTCTGTGGCCGCAGTCGTCGCCGTCGGAATCGTACTCCGCCGTCGCTGCCATCATCACCGTCGACATTGCCATGGCCATTCCGAGCCTGAGAGCCACCGCGCGAAAATGCACGTCAATATCCAATTGCATGCCTGTACGGCGTGGGCGTCTGAGCATGCTCCTGTGGCCCATGTGAAAGGATGGAGGAAGTGCTGTAGGGCCGCCCGCCCTGGGCCCAAGGACACCTTCAAAACCGCCCACGCGCACGAACTGGGCGGCCACAGAGCCCGTAAGACAGCCACGGCTCCCGTTCTTCATTTTCTCCCGCTCCTCCTCGTCCTCCTCCATCCTCTCCCCTTTAAAAGAAATCCTCCCTGGCGCACCACGGAACGTGTGTGTAGGGGGGGGGGAGGCAGGCGTTTCGCCAGAGACTCCCTTGCCATGTACGATCGCCATGTATGATCCTGAAGTGTACTATTGTGCAACATTTACACGATGGAGGGCGGTTTGTGTTCACAATGCGGCTCTCGCCTTAGCGCCGCGTGCAATCGTCTTGAAGTCTGTTACGCGGGTGGAGGGAGGTTCCTTTCCAAAATGGGGCTCTCGCCTGATGGCCGCGGACAATCGTCGTGAACGTCTGTCGCAGTGCAGGGATGGAGGGAGGTTACTTTTCAACATGGGGCTCTCGCGTGCTCGCCGCGGACATTGAGGCACCAGACGCCGGGGAGGCGCCGGAGCCGCCGGGTGAGCGCCGGTGGCGCGCCGGCCGAGAGCCGGGACAGCGCCAGACCGCCGAGGAAACGCCGACCGGGAAAGCGCCGGAGGCGGGAGGGCGCCGGCCGGAAGAACCCGAGGCCGCGGAAGTCGGGAGGACCAGCGGGATCGCACCTGGCAGGAGGTGGGTCTGAGATCAGCCAGTAGCGAAATCAACCGACTCGGAGTTCAGGCAAGTCCGAAATGAGCCGGGTCCGAGTGCAGCCAGAGAGGACGGGCGCGCCGGGAGCGCCCAGGCGAGACCAGGTCCGAGGTCAGCCGGGTCCGAGACGGCGGGATGGCGGTCAGACGGCGGCGGCCAGGGGAGCGCCGGCGTGGAGCCGGGCCAGGAGCACCCCCAGCCAGAGGCGGGGGGGAGCGCCGGGCGGGAGAACCCCAGCCGGAAGCTGGGAGGAGCGCCGGAAGCAGGCCGAGTCCGAGATCAGCCAGGTCCGAGATCAGCCGGGTCCGAGTTCAGCCAGGTCCGAGATCAGCCGGGTCCGAGATCAGCCGGGTCCGAGAGACGCCGAGGAGACGCTGGCCGGGGGAGCGCCGGCCCGTGGAGCCGGGCCGGGAGCACCCCGGCCAGAGGCCGGGAGGAACGGCGGGGGCGGGAGAACCCCAGCCAGAAGCCGGGAGGAGCGCCGGAGGCAGGCCGGGTCCGAGATCAGCCGGGTCCGAGATTAGCCGGGTCCGAGTTCAGCCGGGTCCGAGTTCAGCCGGGTCGGAGACGCCGGGGGGGCGCCGGCCGGGGGAGCGCCGGCCAGGAGCCGGGCTTGGAGCACCCCCAGCCAGAGGCCGGGAGGAGCGCCGGGCGGGGGAACCCCAGCCGGAAGCCGGGAGGAGCGCCGGAGGCAGGCCGAGTCCGAGATCAGCCGGGTCCGAGATCAGCCGGATCCGAGTTCAGCCGGGTCCGAGATCAGCCGGGTCCGAGATCAGCTGGGTCCGAGATCAGCCGGGTGGGAGACGCCGGGGAGACGCCGGCCGGGGGAGCGCCGGCCTCGAGCCGGGCCGGGAGCACCCCGGCCAGAGGCCGGGAGGAGCGCCGGGCGGGAGAACCCCAGCCAGAAGCCGGGAGGAACGCCGGAAACAGACCGGGTCCGAGATCAGCCGGGTCCGAGATCAGCCGGGTCCGAGTTCAGCCGGGTCCGAGATCAGCCGGGTCCGAGATCAGCCGGGTCCGAGATCAGCCCGGTCCGAGACGGCGGGATGGCGGGGAGACGCCGGCGGCCAGGGGAGCGCCGGCGTGGAGCCAGGCGGGGAGCACCCCCAGCCAGAGGCCGGGGGGAGCGCCGGGCGGGAGAACCCCAGCCGGAAGCTGGGAGGAGCGCCGGAGGCAGGCCGGGTCCGAGATCAGCCGGGTCCGAGATCAGCCGGGACCGAGATCAGCCGGGTCCGAGATCAGCAGGGTCCGAGATCAGCCGGGTCCGAGTTCTGCCGGGTCGGAGACGCCGAGGAGACGCCGGCCGGGGGAGCGCCGGCCTGTGGAGCCGGGCCGGGAGCACCCTGGCCAGAGGCCCCAGAGGCCGGGAAGAGCGGCGGGCGGGAGAACCCCAGGCAGAAGCCAGGAGGAGCGCCGGAGGCAGGCCGGGTCCGAGATCAGCCGGGTCCGAGATCAGCCGGGTCCGAGTTCAGCCGGGTCCGAGATCAGCCGGGTCCGAGTTCAGCCGGGTCCGAGTTCAGCCGGGTCGGAGACGCCGGGGAGACGCCGGCCGGGGGAGCGCCGGCCAGTGGAGCCGGGCCAGGAGCACCCCGGCCAGAGGCCGGGCCGGGAGCACCCCGGCCAGAGGCCGGGAGGAGCGCCGGGCGGGAGAACCCCAGCCGGAAGCCGGGAGGAGCGCCGGAGGCAGGCCGGGTCCGAGATCAGCCGGGTCCGAGATCAGCCGGGTCCGAGTTCAGCCGGGTCCGAGATCAGCCGGGTCCGAGATCAGCCGGGTCCGAGATCAGCCGGGTCCGAGTTCAGCCGGGTCCGAGTTCAGCGGGTCCGAGTTCAGCCGGGTCCGAGATCAGCCGGGTCCGAGTTCAGCTGGGTCCGAGTTCAGCCGGGTCCCTTGGGGGCCTCTTGGGCCTCTTGGGGCCACTAGAGGGCCTCTTGGGGGTCTCTTGGGAGCCTCTTGGGGCTTCTTGGGGGCCTCTTCTGCGCCCCTTGGGGCCTCTTGGAGGCCTCCTCGGAGCCTCTTGGTGCGGGAGGGGTGGTACTCGAGTTCGGAACCCCCTCGGAGGCCACGATCCTTGTGAGGGGTGTCAAAAAACGCATCCGCCGGAAACTCGCACCCCCCCCCCACCCCCCCTTCCCCGGCAGAGCCACCCCGGCAACCCCCCCAGAGGCTGAGGCTCAGCCTCGAGGCTGTAGCTGAGACTCCTTGAAACTTACACGCCGGATCGGCGGATTTAAGGACGGGTGTTCAGCTTTACCAACCGCGCAGTGTTAGCGTTGGTTCATGCGTGCCCCATCTGGCCTCGATCTCCTGGGGGAACGCCCAAATCGAGAGGCAGTTGTTTCTGCCCAGGCTCTCAAGTGGCCGATGTCGGTCATGCGGTCTTCGGACTGGTTTGACCTTGGCCAGTTTCAAGGGCCGAGGGTTCCGTCGCTGTTCGCCACCGCCGCTGCTGCCGCCATGCGCACTGCTTTCATCGCGCTCCCAGGTTGGCCGCAGACGATTCGGATGCTGAAAGGAGGGCTCCACCGGCACTGCCCGGCGACGCTCTGGGGCTCTCCCGACTGGCCCCTGCTTTCTGCTACTCCCTCCCTCTCGTCTCCTTCCTTGCTAATGCTGCCCATGGGTTTCCCGAGGACCGTCGCCTGCGGGCGGGCGGGGGGGGGGGTGCGCTTGAGCGGTCTCGAGAGGGCTCGTCAGATCTTCGACCCAAGTGGCAGCGTGTTTCTCAAGGAATCCAGTCTCGCTTCTTCGGCCTGCCATTCGAGGCCCTTCCGGAGCAGAGATCGAGGAGGTGGTTCTTGCCTTCGCTTGTGAGCGGGGGGGTGGGCCGGGGCTCTTCGCAGGCGGCCGTGCCCTCTCTCCCTCCTCCTTGGCTTCCGATCTTCCTCGCGGCCTGGCTCGGAGTTTGCATCACAGGAGAGAGGATGCAGCGCGTGCAAGATTGTATCCTCGGATGCGAATCGAGAGGCTCAGTCTCTCACTCGATATGCGACTGTAATCGGCTCCGCTTCCATCCCCTCCTCCTCCTCCTCCTCCTCCTCCTCCTCCTCCTCCTCCTCCTCCTCCCCCATTGCCCTTCGTCATCGCCGACGTCGTGCGCTGCTCGTGGGGCCGCAAGAGCCGTGGCTGTTCGCCCCGCCCGGCCAGGTGACGCTGCCGGGGCCGCTAGCGGTGGGCGGTCGCCGGGGCCGCAAGCGACCATCCCAGCCAAGCAGGAGGGAGGAGGATGGAAGGAAGAGGGGTCATGGGGAAGGAGGGAGAAAGGAGGAAGGAGGGAGGAGGAATGAGGAAGGAGGAAGAAGGAAGGAGGAAGGAGGAAGGAGGAAGGAAGAAGCAGGAAGGAGGAAGGAGGAAGTAGGAGGAGGAGGAGGAGGAAAATGAAGATGATGATGACGAGGAGGAGGAGGAAGATGAGGATGATGATGATGATGATGAGGAGGAGGAGGAAGAATAGGGCGAGGAGGGCTAGGAGGCGGAGCCTGAAGGCTGAAGGCGTGAAATCGAGCTCGGATGCCAAGCTACGCCGCACAGGGCGGCCCCTGAAACGCGGAACCGATAGTTACGACATGCCTGGCCCATTGGGCCCGGCCTCGGGCCAGCGTGTCACCGAGGGGCACCACAGCACTACCCGACGGGCAGTCCAAGCCTTAGGGTAGAGGGAGGAGGAGGATGAGGAGGAGGAGGAGGAGGAGGAGGAGGAGGAGGCGAAGGAGGAGGAGGAGGGAGGAGGAGGAGGAGGAGGAGGAGGAGGTGAAGGATGAGGAGGAGGAGGCGGAGGAGAGGAGGAGAAGGATGAGGAGGCGGAGGCGGCGGAGGAGGCGGAGGAGGAGGAGGAGGAGGAGGAGGAGGAGGAGGCGGAGGAGGAGGAGGAGGAGGAGGAGGAGCATTTCGAGGAGGGTGAGGTTGTTTGTTTTTCACGGCCCCATGGGGCCAGGCAGGGCCCCCCTGGAGGTAGACGGCGGCCAAACATTTTCCGTCGTAGCCTTTTCCTGACGCAAGGGGGGGGGGGGGAAAACGGGGGAACAAGCAACGGCATGAGCAGGACAAGTCGGAGGTCTGTGCGGATGGCTCGGATGGGCGCTGGGCCCCTCTCTCTGGCGCGTGGGGCGCGCCAGGGGCGGCGCCAGAGGCACCGCCCGGGGGGGGGGGGGCCCTGCGCCGGTGAGAGGAACCCGCGCGGACCGCCGAATTTTTGCGTTCATGCCCTTGTCAGTTTCCCTGCAAAAGCTCCCGCACGCAGTGTGGCAGGCCTCTGCTCACGAGGGAAGAACACGCAGACACAAGTCATCGTCGAGTCCCCAGAAGATATCGGAAACCATGGGAAGTGGGGGGGAAGACAAACACCCAGGAAGTTCTGGGAAAATGGGTGTAATCTTGTTATTTGTGTGTATTTGTTCGTGTGCCCCAGGGCCCCCTCATCTGCCCGCGCCGCCCGCGGGGGCCCACCCCCATCGGGAGAGGCTGCTCGTCGGGGATGCTCTCCGTGGAGCCGGGGGCGGCGCTGCCCGTGGCGTACGAGGCCGCCGCGCCAGCCTGAGCCTAGGCTTTCGAGGCCTCCCAGATGGGGTCCGAGCAGATGCGGTCGGAGGATCGCGCCGCATCGCCGATGCGTCGGCCATGCGGCTGGATGTGGGGCCTGATTTCCTCCACGCCGACGTCGCTGGAGCGTCGCCCACGTCGCCGATGCATCCCCCATGCGTCCTTGATGCATCGGCGATGCATTGGCGATGCGGCGCGATCCTTCGACCCCATCTACCCGGACCCCATCTAGGAGGCCTCTAGACATGCTCGCGTCGTGGAGGATTCAGGACGGGAGGTTCTTCGTCGCGGTAGATCACCCCTTGTAAAGAGGGGTTCGGGTTGGTAAGCTGCCCCTGGGGAAAGAGTCGGGAACTCTGGGGCCGCGCCTGGGACTCCTCCCGACCGCAAGACCCCGACCCCTCTCAGAAGGCGCCGGCCTGACGTCTAAAGATCGCGGGCCCGCGCCTTCTACGAAGCAGCCTCCTTCTAAGAAGCCTCCTTCTAGATCGCGGCTACGACGCAGCCTCCTTCTAAGAAGCCTCCTCCCCTCCTCCCCCTACCCCTCTCTGTGTTTTTGGTTGGCTTGGGAGAGGGATTTCGATTGGAAGCGTATTTAGCCACGTTCTACTTCTGAGCGCTGCGGCGCTGTTCACCGACTCCACCACGGAGCACGCCTCTGCGCGACGCTGGAGTCCCTGCCCCCCTTCTGCGCGTGGCCGAACCCAGATCTCAGTCTATTGGATTTGTCCAATGCTGGCGTGGCTCCTCGAGCGCGGCCTCTGGGTGCTGCCATCGGTCGTCCACACGCAACTCAGACGTGTTCGCGTCGTGGACAACACAGGACGGGGAGGTTTCGGCTTCGGCTTCTGGGGGCTCTCACCGGGCCCCGGGGCCATCCAAAAATGGTTCAGGATGAAAAACAGGTCCCATGGAAGGGGTCGGGACTTGGTGGGCCGCGTGTTGAAACAATCAGGACGTCACATGTTCGGGAATGGATTTCGCCGCGCTTTGTCCCGCCTCCTGTTGTCTAGGCCTCCCAGAGGGGGTCCGAGCAACTGGGGTCGGAGGATCGCGCCGCAGCACCAATACATCGCCGATACGGCTCGGTGTGAAGCCCGATTTTCTCGACGCCGATGGCGCCGATGCATCGCCGCGGCGATGCGGCGCGATCCTCCGGCCCCATGAACTTCGACCCCATCTAGGAGGCTTCCTCTAGTTGCGAAAAACCGCGACCAGAGGCTTTTGGTAGTTTTCGGGCCCTTGAGTGCCCTCGCCGCCGGGCCCCAGGGCCGTCAGAGAACGACGCGGGGTAAAATGCCGGTCCCGGTGAAGTGGTCGAGACCTCCAGGGGTCGACGATGTGAACACAAATCACAGCCTCGGAGATCTGGGGTCCCCGCATGGATCTCGTCGCGTGTTCCTGCGCAGTAGGCGCCACGGATAGGACATCTTGCTGCAAGAACTCTTGGGGCACAGTCTCCGTCGAGATTTGAGCAGCCTCGGATGCCCCAGGGCCCCCCCTGAGCCCGCAGGGTTAAGTCGGGCGTGTCCCTCTACAGGTGGAACATTAAAAAAAAGGTCAGGTCAGAGAACGTTTTTTGTTTGTTTTGTTTTTTGTTTATATGTATATGTATATATATATATATAGAAATAAAGTACAACCATGTTTGAGTATTTTGGGGGTACTTATTGAGTTTTTGTTGGCACAAAATCCCCCTGGGGGGGGACAGGCCCGACGTAACCCCAGGGCCATCGGGGGGAGCGGAGCTTCCGTGGGGCACCTGCCGGCAGGACGATTCTCTTACCTGGCGGGTCCTTTGTCCGGGAGATGGCCGAGCTTTCGGTCCACGTTGTGTGGTCGGCGCGCCACGGGCGCTCTCGCCGGTGCCCCGGCCAGCTCTGAGGGCCCCCCCCCGGGAGGGGCCCGAACGCCCTCGTGGTCCCCAGCTCCGTCCCCGCGGACAGCGCCGGCGTCATCGAGCGACCTTTCATCCGATGCTTCTGTGCAGTGCCATTTCGGCTGAAGAGCCCCTGGAGGGCGAAAGCTACCTGCGCTTGGCACACACAACACATCAGCATCCGAGCAGGCTTGATAGTCCTTTCGATCGGGGGGTCCCCAGCTCCGTCCCCAGCTCCGTCCGACACGTCGATTAAGGAATTAGCCGTTTTCTGTTCGCGAGAGGGCGTCGCGGCCGTCATTTTTGCGGGTCCAGGTTCGTCGGTTTCGGGCCCAGGCCGTTTTCACTAGGGGGAGGTCTACTAAAGGGAGGTTTGTCCACCGCCGATCCGTCCCCGCGAACAGCGCCGGCGTCAAGAACAGATGCCCGCTCGCAGATCTGTTTTTTTTGAGCTGGAGGTCGCTGCAGCTGTTCGCAGAGGTCGGCAGGCCGAGCGCGAGCGGAGCGGTGCATCACTCCGACTTGAGGCCGAGTGCACCCGGCTCGGGGCGGCTCTGTGTCGAGTTCCCGGGTCGATCTGGTGCGGCCCGATGCCTGCGCGCGTGCGCTGCTGTACATCCTGGCGCAGCCGATCCGATTCGAGTTTCGGCTCGGTGCCGATGTTGCCCAATTCGGTGCACGCTCCGACCCGATCCGATTTTTTCGGCTCGATGCTCGTCGAGAATAAAAGGACCCCCAACCCTAGCAACAGAGTGAAGACGTGGCCTCACTCAGGTCCCCGTCTTTGTGCATTCTGGATCATAGAGCTGGGCGGCCCGATCTGAGACGCCTGCAGGCAAGACCACCCCTCCCCAATGTGTTTTTTGCCCTCCTGACTTAGGCCCCCTCCAAAGGGTTAGGGGCTCCTTTGTGGTTGATCAGATACTCCAGATTTCGTAATGGTCTCATTTCGGGGGGGGTCTCTTCCAGGCTATCTTGGAGGGCCTGGGGGGGTCTGGGGACGATGTTTTGGAGGGTTCTCCCACGGGGGGGTCTAAAACTTCTCGTCTGGGAGGGTTGAGACCCCCTCCCTTTTATTACGAAATCTGGAGTGCTGTTTGCTCCTGCCAGCCGCCGCCAGGGCGCCGCGGAGCCCTCGACAGTGGGGCCGCAAAAAACGTCTGCGACGGGGTGCGCGCTGCGCCTCGGCGCGGCACAGGCGGCCCGCGCGCGGGCGTGCTCCGAGCTCGAGGGCGCCGCGTTGTTTGCACCGAAGCTCGAAGTTCGAAGCTCCTGGAATCAGGAGTTCAGGCTGAACTCCTGATTTCAGGAGCTCGCGAAATCGAACTCCTGAAATCAGGGTTCAGGCTGAACCCTGACTTCAGGGGGTTCCGAACCCCCCCCCGATCTCGGACTTGTCATTTGCCTGGAAGGGGCCGATGCGGGACGCTCTGCGCTGCCGGGAAGCCGCGCTCGCCTGGGGTGGTGAACCGACGCCCGAGGTCGCCGCGACATGGGGCCCAGGCCCCCTCGGGTCATGAAAACATCGTCACGGGCAGCCCTTTTCACAATCTTCGGCCTCCGGGAGCCCTCGCTGGCCCTCGGGACCATCTGAAAACGACTCGGGATTCAAAGTCCGGTCCCGGGGGTACACGTCATGAGAAGTGCATGACGTCGGGGGTCTGGGAACGTCACCGCGACATGGGATAGACCTGTCGTACCGTCGGACCGAGGTATAAGATCGAGGTCGGTCTGGGGAGGGCAGCCCCCCAGTGTTCTTCGTTTTTGTCGGATGCTCTCGTGCATCCTGGGGGAGACCAGCCTCGAGCGTTCTTTAGTTTGGCCGGCGGAGGGTCTCCTGTTCCTGGGGGGCGTTCTTCTGCCTTGGGTCTGGCCGTATTGGACAGCCGCGCTCACCTGGGGTGATAAGCCAACGCCCAAGGCCGCCGCGACGTGGGATGTACCTGCCGTAATCGTTTGCGCGTTGCTGGCCTCTCGGGGCAGCTCCTGTGCCCCGTGAGCCGTCGAAGAGCAACCCGAGATGACAGACTCGGCCCCGGGGAGGTCGAGAGTCCTCGAGAGCAAAAGCACCCCTGACCCCAACGACACAACGAAGACGCAGCCTGAACCAGGTCCCCGTGCTTGCATCAGGGATGATACATCTGGGCTGCTCAGTTTGATACACCTGCAGGAACGCCCTCGTGTCCGAAGGATTGCAAGAAAAAACCAAGGATTGCAACAAAAAACAAAAAAAAACCTTCGAAGGATGGCAAACGAAAAACAAAACAAACGATGGATTGCAATCCTTCGATGTTCTGGGCCTATTCGCTCAGGTCCGCTCTCGAAGCGTTCGGGGGGTCCTCGAGCTGCGAGCCGGAGAGCCCTGAGTGGCCCACGTCTCGAGAAGAGTACCGGCCAGATCACACGGGTGGCCTCCTCCTCCTCCTCCTCTTCCTCCTCCTCCTCCTCCTTCTCCTCCTCCTCCTCCTCCTTCTCCTCCTCCTCCTCCTCCTCCGACTCCTCCTCCGACTCCTCCGACTCCTCCTCCTCCTCTTCCTCCTCCTCCTCCTCCTCCGACTCCTTCGACTCCTCCGACTCCTCCGACTCCTCCGACTACGAATGACCTGGCACCGCTCGGACGTGTGTATCTGTTTCTCGGCGAGGACCCCTGAGGACCATCCTGGACCATCGAGCAGCAAAAGCACGCACGAAACCGAAGAATGCACGGGAAAAATGGACGTCCGAGAGACGGCAAGATGATGTCCCAACCCTATTTTCGCCTGGACCACCAGAAAGACTTTCGAGCACCAGGAAGTACTGGAATTGCAGGGTTTTCACGTGTCTGGCCTTGGGAGGCGATACTCGTTCGACACTGCTCCAGCGTGTCGGACATACACCGTTTCTCTATTTTTCGGGGTGCACGGAATTAGTTTTGGGATGTGTGGCCCTTGCGTGTGATGGAAGCAACGTAATGCAAGGCAGACATCCGGTGCTTTTGTACGGTCAGGAATTTGGGCTTAGCGTGTCGCTCCGCCGGTTCTATGGCTTGGCTCGCACGCTTCCGCGCGACACGCTATCCATGTCCCGGTCTCCAGGCGTCAACGTCCCGAGCTTTTCCCGAC